GCCTTAATAATTAGAATAGGGTTGTTTTGGGCTCCTTAATACTATGATTTTAACAAGGAGCCCCCAAAGATAGTATTGGTAATTATTTAGGCTCCTACATTACCCCCTCGCCGAAACGACACCGTTTCAAAAACAAGAAAAGCCGGCTGACTCTGGTCCAAAGAACCCTAAACCCTAAACCACCAAAAAGCGGGAGAAACAAAAACTAGACCCAAACCCCTAAGAAGGACAACGACCCAAGCCAAAAGGCAAAAGCTGGTTATGTAGGGGCATTACTAGTTAGAGTAGGGTTTTGGAGCCCATCATACTCTAATTATAATGAGGAACCCCCAAAATAACATGGGCAATTATTTTGGAATTCGTTTTGTGGTTTTGAGGGGTGGGATCCTAAACCTTAAACCCGAAACCCTAAACCCTAAACCCTAATACCCTAAACCCTAAACCCTAAACCCTAAACCCTGCCTGGCTCTGGTCCAGAGCCAAGGGTGGCAGGCCGCCTTGGGCGGCTCGCTCAGCCACGTGGGCTTCGTAGGCGGCCTTGAACGCCTCTGAGGGGGTTTGGGGCGTTAGGGCTTCGGGGTACGTACCCTTGAAGCCTAAACCCTAAATCCTAAACCCTAAACCCTAGACCCTAAACCCTATAAGCCGTACAGGTTTAGGCTTTAGAGCCGAGGCCTCTTAGGTGCTGGGCTTTCGGGGAGTTAGGGCTTCTTCTGGCTTTCAGGGGTTCAGGGTTTAGGGGTTTAGGGTTTAGGGTTTAGGGTAATATAGGGGCCTTAATAGTTAGAATAAAAATCTTGGGGACGGTTATACTATAATTATGATGGGGACTTACTCAGGCCCCTATACCCTATATTAGGGTGTCACTGTCAGCTTATAGTAAGGAACCCCCAAAATAGTGTTGGCAATCCCTAAACCCTAAACCCTAAACCCTAAACCCTAAACCCCTAAACCCTAAACCCTAAACCCTAAACCCTAAACCCATTTAATTAGGCCCCTACAGCACGGGTTTCGGGTCTTCCGGCTCCAGGGTTAAGGCTTTTGGGACTCTGAGGGATGCCTAGGTTCGAACAGTTTGGGGTTTTTGGCTCGAAGGGTTTAGGGTTTTTGGTGCGAAGGGTTTTTGGTTTCGGGTTTGAAGGGTTTAGGGTTTAGGGTTTGAAGGGGTTAGGGTTTAGGGCTTGCAGGGTTTAGGGTTTTTGGTTTGAAGGGGATTTAGGGTTTTTGGTTTGAAGGGTTTTTGGTGGATTTCAGGGGGGCTCAAGATCTTTGAGGCCTGGCGATCTTTCACGTGTAGGAGTCTTGGGGTGTTAGGGGTTTTAGGTTGGTATGTTAAATTGTTAATACTCGACTCCTCGAAGCTTACATGCCGAGTTAAAAAATTAAATTTCCCAAGCGCATACAGTGGAGGCTCCTTCTCCTTTCTTCTATCAGGCTTCTTTTTTTTATCATAGTCTTAAGCCCGAAAGGCCCTAGGTCCTAAACCTTAATCCCATGTTTGGAAAGACCTACGCCCCAAACCATTTGACAGAAGTTGAATTAACCGCTCCCGTACGGCCTCCGGCTGGGCCGAGAAAGCGCGGACCTCGAAGCATGGAACGAACAAGGCACCATACAGACGGGCTTAGGGTTTCGGGCAGAGCATTCCTAGCCAGGCTCTGGGGTAGCGGAGGGCTCCAGCACCCCGTGCTACCTGCAACGCCCGCACCTTCCATCGCGACCTGAACCCCACTGCTGATGCTGGACGGCGTGAGCTCAACTTCGAAAGAAAGACGCGCTCCAGACTCTGAAGCCTTGACTTGACTACACTCTGCACCCTAAACCCTGAAACACACCCCCAAACCGGCCCAAACTCTCCACCCTGGATCATGAAGACTACGGCCTGGACCCGAAACCCTTAATGTAGGGGCCTGAATAATTAGAAAGGGGTTTCGGTGGCTCCTTAGGATTATAATTTTAATGAGGAAGGTATAATATACCCCAGACCCTATTCTTATTATTAAGGCCCCTATATATATATATATATATATATTATGTATATATCTATAGATATACACGGATATACACATATATATATATATATATGAAACCCTCAGCGGGTGCCGGGTCCCCAGCATACTGAGCTGGAAGGGCCCTTGGCGAGATCACCTGGCCCATTTAGGGGTCTAGGGTTTAGCGTTGAGGGTTTTTGGGGTAGTATTTTTGGGGTTTAGGGTTCAGGGTTTAGGGTTTAGGGTTTAGGGTTTAGGATTTAGGCTACCCCAGCGACTGACTCTAGGGACTCTAGGGGCTTGCAGAGGGGATCTCGGCTTTCTTTAGGGGTGCACAGCTGAATACAGGGGCCTTAGTGATAAGAATAGTGTTTTGAGGGTAATGATACTATAATTTTAATGAGGAACACCAAAAATGTTCGGCTGCCTGCATCTACCGGTTGAAGGCCATGCTACCGTCTCCTCCTCCTCCTACTACTACCACCACCACCAGCAGAAGCAGCACCACCACTACCACTAACACTACGTAATTACTAACTACCCACTACCACTACCTCTGCCACTACCACTACGACGAAGACGAATAGCATCAGCACCACCACGACGACGACGATTGCCACGGCTACTACAGCTTCCACCAGCAAAAACTACGACTACGACTAGTAGTACGACGTCTGATGATACTGCGATTTGCATCACTACCGCTACACTATTTCTGCTGAGACGTGGCTCCTGTTACTTTGGTTCATAACTACATGAGCTTCAACGCTGAGGCCGTCAGCGGTCTCCCTACCCCAATCCCGTCTTAAACACTTTGCTTCTAACTTTTGTCTCGGGTTTAAGTTGCCATCTAGCACAGCCTGAAACCCCGAAGCCCGAAATGTCCAAACCTTCAAACTTATATTGGACACACCCCAGGCTCTAAACCCTCAACCCTACAGCCCTGAACCCAAAAACTGAGATCCTAAACCCAACAACTGAAAGCAAACACTGAGATCCTAAACCAAACAACCCAAGGCAAAAACTGAGATCAAGCAAAAACT